GATGTGAAGATGGAGGCAGAGATGGGAATGATGTGGCCACAAGCCAAAGAAGCCAAGGAATGCCGCCAGCCACCAGAACTTGGAAGAGGCTAGGAGGGATCCTTCTCTAAAGCCTCCAGAGAGAGTAGGGCCCAGCAGACAACTTGATTTCAGCCTTCTGGCCTCCAGAATTGTGAGAGAATAAATTTCTATTATTTTTAGCCAATTAATTTTGTGATAATTTGTTATGGCAGCCACAGGAAACTAATATATACAGCAAGTTTGAAGCCTAGATTTAAGAGACCTTGGACTCCATTCTAAGCCAGAGCAACCTGCTTCCTCAATGCCTCTGAAATCTTTCAAGTGGCCAGCATCCATTCCTTTATAAGCACAGTGGACCACATGGGGGCCCTGGTGACCTACAGGGCCTATGCCTAATCTATAGGGAGCTGCTGTCCTTTAACTCCATGTGGCACCATGCCAAGTTATCGTCATCTCTTGCTCCGTCTATGCAAATGACCTCAACTGCACAACTTATTTCTACTCTTTCTCCCATTCAATCTATTTTCCTCATTGTAGCCAGGGTAATCTTAAAAAAAAAAAAACAAAAAAAAAACCAGAGCCAGCTCTGATTGCCTAGTGGTGAAAGTTTGGCACATCTGCTTCAACAGCCGGAGTGTGGTTCCCCGGCACAGAACCACACCACCCATCTGTCAGTAGCCATGCTGTGGTGGTGGCTCACATAGAAGAACTAGAATGGCTCACAACTAGGATATACAACCATGTACTGGGGCTTTGGGGAGGGAAAAAAAAAAAAACAGGAAGATTGGCAACAAATGTTAGCTCAGGGCGAATCTTCCCCTGCAAGAAGAAAAACCCAAAAACCAAAAAAAAACCTAAGTCATATCAGGCCACTCCTTTGCTCTCAACCCTCCAATGGCTTCCCATTCACTGGAGTGAAATCCGAACTCCTTACCCCGTCTACAAGTCCTGCTACTTTATTGATCTCTCTTGTACCTGCTTTTGCCTCTCTCTCCACTCCAGCCACAGAGGCCTCCTTGCTGTTTCTCCAACATGCTAAGCATGCTCCTCCTCCAGGCTCCTTGAATTTGCTGTTTTCTACCCTCAGGTAGCCGCCTGGCTCACCCCCTTCCTTCATTCAGCTCTTGTTCGGATGTCCCCTTATTATAAAGGATTTCCCTGGCCACCGTCACTCTTTATTCCTTTACCATGCTTTGTTTTTCTTTACAGCATGAATCTCCACACCACCTTGATAGATTTGTTAGTTTAGTAGGTTATTGTCCATCTTCCCCTTTAGACTGTAAGCTCCATGAAGGCAGGGGCTTTGGACTGTTTTAACAACGTGTGGCACAGTACATAGCAAGTGCTCAATAAATTCATCGCTGAATGAATGAACAAATGAATGAGTGAGTGGAGGAATTCGGGCTCCATATAGCCATATCTTTTTTCCTAGAGAAGTCAGAATCTGGATATTTAGGTGAAATTCTACCAAATGTGAACCAAAAAAAAAAAAAAAAAAAAAATTGCTGGCTGGCTAAAAAAATGTATCCAAGGGCCACCAGTTTGAGACTGTTGCCTGATAGGGATCTGGGTCCAAAGGAAACTATGTTCCTCTGTCCTCAGATGGTGCAGCCCCTCCAGGAACTGAATGGTTCTTCAGGATCCACCAGCCCTTGCATCCTCAGGCCCAGGCCTCATGAGGTACTGTTTGTTGTTACAGACCAAAGTCATCCAGAGCACTTTGTTCAAAAGGCAGGATGTGGGCTGCAAGCTTCCAGCTCATCGGTTCAAAGGAAATCTACTTCAGCAGCAATATCTCCTGGGATGTTTTCTCAAGCCTCCCTGGGAGGTGATGGGGCCTTTTAAAGGACTAATAATAGACAGGCACGTCCAGTTTCCCAAACATGTCAACCTTAAAAGTGAATGCTATTTTTGCCTTGTTACCTTTGAATTACTATGTAGGGAAGGGACATTCTGTTAGGACAGCCATCGCTCTCCACATGCCACCTAATAATGACTTACCACTCAGCAGCTTCTGGGCAAAATTGTCATAGTGGGACCTGAGCTTCACTAGGCAGAAGTTCAGTGTCGCTGGTGCAACTCCATCCTGCCCTTTTTCACCCCTTGAACATGAGTATGCTTTGTAGCCATCATTCAACAGTGTGACTTTGGGTGTATATCTTAATCACTCTGAGCATCACCGTCCTTATCCATAATGAAAGTTAGCGGACCTACACACGGTTGTTGGGAGAACTAAATAAGACAGTACAGGTACCTGACATACACCCAGCACCTGATGTTTATTATTATTGAACACCTACTGGATACAGGTGGGGGTAAAGGGTGCTGTCCTTGAAATTTACATTCACTCATTGGTTCGCACAATCACACACTCATTCAACTAATATTTATGGAGCTCTTAGAAGGTTTCAGGCACTGAGCTTGGTGCCGGATGACACAACGGCAAGCAGCTCCTGCCCTCAGAGCCTAGGTCTAGTCAAGGAGTTCGTAGTCTAATGCAGTGCTGTGTTCCCAGAGTGTGGGGCACCGTGGGGGGATGTTTAGACGTAGTGCATGGACAGGGCTCTAAATCACACTGCATTACCCATCTAACAATTATTACTCTTTTGATTACCTTTCCATTCTTCAGATTCCATCCAGGAGAGAGTCCCAGTTGGATGTTAGCGTGTCTTTAACATCTCTCTATTAGTTGTTAATCTCCCTTCTTAAGAAATAAAAGGCCTCAGACGCAGATGTTTTGGGCAGTTGGCAGCATCTGTAAACCCATACAAAGTTTACAGATTTGTATGGATACCTTTTGCTGTTCGAACTCAGAAACCAGATAGACTTTTTTCAGATGGTGCACAAATATGACCAGAATTTGTGAAGACGGGTCAGGAATGAATTAAAGTTGAGGAAATGCTGACCTATTAAGTTTCTCCCTCACCTCCTTTATTAGCCCCATTTTACAGTCGAGGAAACTGAGTCTCTTTATGGAGGGGATGGATAGGGAGGTAGGGAGTTCTCATCTAAATGGTCGGGCAAGCAAAGCCAAGAATTGTCTTTGTGGTGGAGTTAGACACATTTAAAATAAAGATTGCTCCTCCCCTACCTCTGCGGTACGTGTGTGCGTATGTGTGTGTAAGTGTGTGGAACCACAGGCCTTTCCGAGTGAGTGACAGCGGGAGCCCATCCCTACAAGAGACGGGTGCAGAATGACCAATGGGATGGATGGGGGTTGGATGGGTACCAGTCTGCAGAGGCCGGGGTGAAATCAGTCGCGCCCACCCTTTCCACCCCCTACCCCCGGCCCTCGTCGGGCCTTCCGGTCTCGGTTCCCCCGGGACGTGCTCATCTTCCTAAGGCAACCCCAGGCCAAGGACGGGGTAGGGAGCGAGGCTCAGGTCTGACGATCGCAGGCTGCGGTCCCCGCGCCGCAGCGCTGCGGCTAACACTTCTCTGGGAGACCGGCAGCCTCCGGGTGCCAATATGTAAAGCAGCTGGCGGCGCTGGGCGGGGCCTGGGGCGCGATGCAAATGAGGGAGGCGGGGTCTGCCCGGGGCTCCGCCTCCCTCCCCCGCAGCTGGGGCCAGCGGTGCCAAGCGCAGCTGGACGAGCGGCGGCAG